TCAGCTTAATGTATTCTCTCCCTCTCTCATCAAGTTCCTTCTCCATGGACTTGATTCGATTTGTGAACCCCTCAAACTCTTCAACCTCTACCTTCCTTTTCTCCAACGCTGCCTTGTGTTCCAAGTGAAACTCTGCCTCTTTCTTCTCGAACTCTTCCACTTTGGCTTTGAAGGACTCATGAACAGAAGAAAACTCCTTCTCCTTGGTCTCGAGCTCCATGGCTCGGCCGTTGAGTGATTCCTCCAGTGCTTGAAGCTCTTTGGCCTTCTCTTCTAGAAGACTTTTCGTGGAATCGAAGTGTGACTCGATCTCCTTCCATTGAAGGGAAAGAAGAAGAAGAGAATGTGCTTTTTCCTGGAGAGAATCTAGGGTTTGGTGAAAGTTATGCTTGCTTAGATCAACAAGGGCTAGACTATTCTTTGCCTTCTCCATCAAGTCACCCATTAGACAAAACCACAGAAACCAAACCTAAAAATTCTCAAACACGAAACGAACTTGAGGATATGAATCTTCACGTCTGCTTTTAACTGCTGTTCTGTCTTGTGGCGTCTGAATGATGAAAAAGAAGCTAGATAATCTATTTGTTTGGATTTCCAAATCAATTATTATATTTTCGAAAATCAATTATATTATGTGTAATTAATTTATTTTCTTGATTTAAATCACAGTAAAATTATTAAAAAAGAGAAAGTCAAAGTCTGCTCAAAATTATTGCCTTAACAGAAAAAAGGAAAGTTTATACTCCATTATTTTTTGACAAAAATAAACTCTTTTATGTATGCAACTATGTGTAGTTGTTGTTCTCCAATCTCTACTGAAACTTTTTAGGTATGACCTACATTATCTATCAGGTTTATGCATGTCATTAATGAAACTTCTAGGTGTGGCCTATATTATCTATCAGGTTTATGCATGTCAGCAATGGAAACTAAAAAAGATGATGGTTTGAGTCTTTAATTTTCTCGTTCTGTTCATTATCTTTGTATTTAGCTGTCTCTTAACTTTGTATATTATAAATTTTTTTTATTATTTATTCTGGAGTACTTTTCTTAATGATGTTTATGGCATTTATATGATTTGTAATTTTTATTACTAAAGCATATTTTATCTGATTAATCACACTCTTGATTACAAATATAAGTTTGCTCAGAGAAATTTATAGAGTTCTTCAATTCTGAAACAAAAGGACTCTCTCTGTATATAATTTTCTGCAAAAGAGAGATTAAGAGAGACCATGGAGCTACTAACCAACACCTATCAAGGCCAAAAGACAAAAGTTGTTTGTTTGTTTTTTTTTTTTGCTAATTACTTCCTACTACTTAGAAACAGCACTAGAATCTGCCAGACCCTGATGGTGAACTGAAGCAAGGTCTAATCACCGAGTCTAGGATCCTCATGATCCACCCTTGGACGTTTAGAACCAGCGTGGTGTGAATGTTGTTGACCTTGCAACAACGCAGTTGAACCACCAGCTTGAGAACCAAAGCTTGTTGGAAGGTTCAGTTTTGAGCCATGAGTGCCAATGCATGATGAGCTTTGAAAGACTGTGTCTGAAGCCTGCATATGCGTTGATTGAGCTGGAACTGATGATGAGACAACACGTTGGTTCTGAATTTGAATGTCTCGAGGAACCATGAATTTGAGGACAAGATCCACAGGAATATTAATCTCCAGCTGGAAGTCTCCAATAAGTTCCATTATGTCTCTCAGTGTAGCAGAATCTCTGTTAGCTTCAGCCTATGAACCCAACATAAATTACAAACTTAACAATCAATGACAATATACAGTTTGACAAGAAGAAAACAAGCTATATAACCTGTGATTCATATCTTCTCTTTTCCTTGGCTGAGCGTCTGAGATTGATTATCTCTTCCTTCAAGAACTCCAGGGGAGAAAAGTTGTTCTTCACGTCGAAGTAAATCATAAACCGGATTGCAGGAATAAACATGGTTTTTTTTAGGAGCTCTGTGACAACATCTATGGACATAATCGTTAGTGTTAAACACACACACACACATACAAAGGTAACAAATGTAACTTACTTGGGATGGCATCACTGAGACCAAGAGACTGGAACAGTTTTGGAGCCTGTTTGAAGTAAGCAACACGCGTGGCAAGTTCTAAAGTCTCATCTTGTTTAAACTCTTTCACCAATCCAAACGCTAGAATGAACTGCAGAAAAGCCCAAGCCTCGAGCTGTGACTTTTCAACACTACTAACTCCCATCATCTTGAACCATCTATGTGCCACTCTGGTTGCATCAGACTCTAGACCAGGATCAGCAGAGATTATTACAACACGTGCTAGTTCCTCCAAAAGAGGAACCACCGTCTTAACTATAGGCTCTGCTAAACTCAGTTCATCTCTCTGATGAGCACCAATGAGTGCATCATCCACAGCATTTAGAACAAACCTGCCTGGATATTTGATCATTGGAAGTTGAGTTGAGACTTCATTTGGGGAAAAATAAGTTGAGTCCTCAATGTCCTTAAGAGAATCTTCATTAAGCAAATGAGATGTGGTTGGTGCTTCATGGGACTGCTCTTCAGGCTTAGCATCCACTGATAGCACATTGTTCTCTGCAAAAAAAAAAACAACTTACTAAGCATCACAAAACTAAAAACAGAACTCAACTGTTATGTTTTAAAGGTCTAACGGTTTGGTATTGTTTTGCTTGTAGCAGCATCAGATATCTAAAGATTATATGACATCAGGTTTAATGTTACTACAAGAGACACATTTGATTTTCAGAGACGTTACTTGAAGAGAAAACATACCACGTGTCTCTTGTGACCTCTCTCCACTTACTGTAGGAGGAACCCACAAGTCTCGCCGAGCACAACTCCCATTTGGACTGACCTCTTGCCTTGTACCATTAAGTTTGGCTAACTCAGCCGCAACAGATTCCTTGAGAGAGGAAATAGCTTGGTCAAAATGGTCTTTAACACTTAAAGTATAGCCAGCAAACATTGACACAACACGTTCCTCAAAAGCATCAGTGGCAAGTCGTAGGAGACTTTCAACGACCATTGTAGAGCCACCACCAGGCACAGGCGTGAAAGTGCTTCCACCATGTCTTTCTTGACCATCAAAACACTCAGGTTTAAGTTTCCTAGCTTCGTTTGCCTTAACACCCCCACGCCAACTGTTAATCTCAAAGGGGAAGTCCTCCTTGATAAGTGAGACCATGTGAGAGACAGATACATCCTCAGCTTCATCACCAAATCCTTCTATATCATGGTCTACACATAACATAGACCTCACTGATGCCTGCACGTTTATTTTTAAAAAAATTATATAAATGTAACAAAGCAACATAAACATGAAGGTAATAATAATGCTAACGATACCTGGCCTATTAATTCCAAATTTCTGGTTGTAACAACATTGATTTTCAAACTTGTGCCACAGACTCTTTCGACAATCTCTTCAACAGTTAGCTCCTCCTCAACCCCACCAGGTTCAGCTACAATCTGTGGGCAACAGCAAACGGTAACAAGGACAATAGCATGGGAAAACCCCTGAATTGCAGTTGTGTCATTAGCATATTGTGCAGGTGTCCGAGCCTTGGCACTACGAACTGTTAATACAAACGACTCTCGACCCCATGGATACTTAAGAAACGCCTCAATGTCCCCGACCAACTCCACAACCTCCGGTCTCACCGTGGTTGCCCCACTCGTCGGGCAGAGAATACCTTCCACTAGAAGCAACAGCGAGAGACGCAACCGCGTGTCCGAGTCTTTGTATTTGTCACCCATTGCAAGGCGGGCTATGATCCACTCAGGAGTAATCTTGTCTTTTCTTCCGAACAATTGTTTCCAAACTGCTCCATCAGTCCCTGAGATATATTTTCCCTTCTTCTTTGGGTGGCCAAGGCATGTATTAGCCTTGGAACAGTTTAGCCCTGTAACTAATGCATACTCTCCTATTCCGTAACGGATGGGCTTCCCTGCAAACGTCCACCATAGCTCATACTTTTTGCGTGTTACCAACTGTCTGCATAGAAGCTGGTGAACAAACATAACAGAGAATGTATGTTGTCCCAATTTGAGTATTTGGCGAAACTGTGAGTTTGCTAACATCTCACGCTGCTCTGTGGATATGCATTGGTTGATCACCTCTATCCATCTCAAGTTGAAGTAGTTGTTGATTCTTTTGCGTCCGCTTGGTTCGAAACCTGTCTGAAACAGTCTCTCTGGTAATCCTGACTCTTCCATCCTATCAAAATAATAACAACAAGAAGATTAGAGTCTTGAAACGTGCATATAGTTCAATAGAACATGCAACAAACAAGTACCAACATGCATAATCAAATTAAAATCCATAAATCATAATAGATGGACTGTACAGAATCCAATGCAACTTTGCAATACAATACTATACTTCATCTTTACTAACCTTTTCCACAGAAATCTTTTATTTTAACGCAATCATTCTGATTCTGAACTTGAAAGACGGTGAAAGCATACTGCTCCTTCAGCAACACTTACACGGTTCCTAGCTATATCTATTCCCTGCAACCTCCAACTTCACATCCGTCTTCCTGTCTCCTTTGGTCTCCACTTCTCTATGCCTTCGATTTCGACGAGGTAAAGTAAAAGTGCACCTCACGCTTGGTGCCCTTGTCTACACGGTTTCTGTAGTTAGTAAGGGCATAACCGGCAGTTTTCTTCTGAAAAGTATTTTTTATTTGATTAAACAAGTTGAGTGTAATTGCTGATTATAAAAATAAGTTTGCTCAGAAATTTGCAGAGGTCTTGAAACTCCACATCACTTTAGTTAAGAACAACATGTCCCCAAAACATTTAAGCTTGTCAAGTTTTGAAACCAAAGGAGTCCTCTGCATTTTTCTGTTTTTGTTTTTGCTTAAAAGAGAGACCATGGAGGTACTTACTAACCAATAGCCGAGACATATCAAGTCCAAAAGACAAAAGATGTTACTTGTTAGTTACTTCCTACTAAGCTAGCTTTATAGACTTAAACTTGAGACAGAGAACTAGCCAAAGCTGGGTGGTGGATTAGAGCAAGGTCTAGAACCCTCAGGATCCACCCTTGGACGTTTAAAACCAGCTTGATGTGAAGATTGACCTTGGAACGCAGTTGAATCACCAGCTTGATATGATTCTACATTAACAGGTTGGTTTGGTGCCTCACCAAAGCTTGTTGGAACTTGGAAGGTTCGGATTTGAGCCATGAGTGGAAATGCATGAGCTTTGAAGTCTTCAATGAGTTCCATTATGTCTCTCAGTGTAACAGCATCTCTGTTAGCTTCAGCCTATATAAGGCAACATAGGTAACAACTTTAACAACCAATGTGAATATACAGTTTGAGAAAAAAGAGATGGATAGAAACAAAAGGTTTAACCTGTGATCCATATCTTCTATTTTCTTGAGCTGAGCGTCTGAGATTGATGATCTGTTCCTTCAAGAACTCCAGTGGAGAAAAGTTGTTCTCCACTTTGAAGTAAAACATAAACCGGATTGCAGGAATATATAAGCCTTTGTCAAGGAGCTGTGTGACAAAATCTGCAGAGATGAAAAGAGGACATTATAATCGTTAGTGTTAAATGTATTGTAGAAGTACAACTTACTTGGGATGGCATCACTGAGACCAAGAGACTGAAAGAGTTTTGGGGCCTGTCTGAAATGAGCAACACGCGAGGCAAGTTGTAAAGTCTCATCCTGTCTAGTTTGAATCACCAATCCAAACGCCACCATGAACTGCAGAAAAGCCCAAACCTCTAGTTCTGACTTTTTTTCACTAGCTCCCATCATCCCAACCCATTGATGTGCCATTCTTGTTGCCTCAGAATCTAGATCAGGATCAGTAGATATTACAACAAGTTCCATCTCCTCCAAAAGAGGAACCAAAGTCATAAGTGCAGGCTCTTCTAAACTCAATACCCCTCTCTGGTGAGCATCCTTGAGTGCATCCTCCACAGAGGTTAGAACAAACCTTCCTGGATTTTCATTTTGCGAAAAAGAAGTTGAGCCCTCAAAGTCCCTCAGAGAATCTTCATTAGGCAAATGAGATGAAGCTATGCTTTGTTGGACATCCGAGGAGTAGAGATCGTTACTATTGATGATTGGCTGCTGTTCATTTAGTGATGGCACACTGTTGACTGCAAAAAAAAATTCAATAAGCATCACAAGACTAAGATAGAGCTTGATAGTGTTTTGCTTGTAGCAGATATAATGATTAAATGTGTTGTAGTGTTTTACTTGTAGCAGAATCAGATATCTATTAGACTATATGAGACCAGGTTTGAAGAAAAATTTAACGGCAACACACACACACAAAATGTTACTAGACACAATTGATTTTTGAGACATTACTGAGAAAACATACCAGGTGCTAGAGATGATAATCCAAGAGCCTTGCATAGACTCGGACTGTATTTTCTAAGAAAGGCCACATCAAAAATACTTTGGACTTTGTCAGCATCAAAAGTGTATACCAAACTGAATGCAGCAAGAAAGTGTAGAAACTCCAACACCTCCACTGGATTCTCTGCCTCAACAAGATTTGTGTTCTTCCATTCAGTGGCAAACTTGATAGCTTCTCCTTGTACTTCAGCTGTGGGTTTTGTTGACATATCCATCAAGCATTCCAGCAAGAAGATGCTACTCCTTTGAACACTCTTTGTATCAAGATTTTTAGCTGAGGTCCTTTGGTGAGCAGCGTAGAGCCCATTTATTGTGTCTAACACAAGCTTTGCTGGGTCATAAGATCTTTTAACAGAAGAGAGAACATCAAGGTGAAGCTGATCATATTTCTTTAGATGCCCACGTAAGAGTAACTGCATCGTTTTCTCATCGCATACATTAGCATCTCGTACCAAGTCAACTTGTTGAACCCTGTTGCCTTGTCTCTTTGCTTTCAGCTCAGTTTTCTTAGAGGATTTTCCCAACTTCTGTTCTGTTGATTTCAATTGCTGATCCTTCTTATTAATCATTTCCTCCCTAGCACAAAGCTCTTTCTCTTTCAGTTTAAGTCCTTGCTCACGCCTGGCTTGCTCCTCCTCTTTAGATTGAAAGTCTTTCAAGCTGTCTTGAATCTTTTTCTTGACAGAATCAAGTTCCTCGTTGGAGTTACGAATAGCAACTATTATCTCATCATGCTGCTTCACTTTAGAAACAGCTTCTTCACTCCGTTCCTGAATCAACAACTTGAGTGACTCACAATGTGCACTCCTTTCCTCAATTACCCTTCTAACATCCTCTAATTCCTTTCCCTTTGTTTCCATCCTTTGGCAAGCCTCCTTCATGTCATTGTTCAGGGACATGACTGTCTTCTCCCTCAAGTCAATCTTTTCACTAACCACTTTCAACTCTTTCTCTTTAGAGACAAGTTCAGATGACCGTGTCTCAAACATCTTCTCACATTCCTCAACCTTGTCTTGAACCATTTTGAGATCCTTTAACTTCCTCTCAGCTTCTTCATCCAACTTCCTCAAACTCTCCATCTCTGCGCTGATCTCAGCATGACACCTCTCAAGATCAGTCTCCATATGTCCTAACTGTTCACCTTTACAATCAATCTCAACCATCATCTCCCCAAGCTCACTCACCTTTAAAACTTTCTCTGCCTCACACTCTTCCACAGATCTCCTAAGCTCAGACAGTCTCATTTCTTCAGCATTAGACTCACTTACACAAATCTCCACCTGATTCTTAATAGAGTTTAGTTCTTTCCTCTTTGTTTCAACTTTCATCTCTAAATCAACAAGCTGAGCTTCTCCTTCTTCAACCTTTTTAGCTCTTTCCTCAATTGCAAAGGCTCTATCTCTCAACTCAACCTCCTTGGAATCTAACTCCCTGATCCTCGCCTCTACTATATTAGAGGCGTAAGCGTAAACCTCATCCAACGCTTTGCGCAGACCCTCACCTCTAACCCTACAGAGTTGCAACTCCTTTTCCACTTTGCTCTCCTCCATCGCCTTTCTTCAACTCCACGGAAGAGTTTTTTTTTCAAAAATGGCAAAAGAATCTGACAGAGGAGTAACCCTAAGTACCCTTCAAGAAGAATCTCAACCAAAGTTCCAAACTTGAGTAAGAGAGAATCAGAAGCACTTAAAGAGAGAAGCGAAGTGTCTGTACGGAAAAACAACAAAAGGGTTTAGTGAAAATGAGTTTTTTTTAAAGAAGATAAAAAAAATGGAAAGAACTTTAGCCAAAGAAACAAACAATTAAAAGAGAAATTACAGTGAAGAGTGAAGAGTAAAGAGAAAGAAAGACCTTTTTTGTTTATTACAACGTCTACGACCATCAACGACTCTGTGTCTTCTTCCTTCTCTTACAGGTTTTAATAACAGAGAGGTTTGTTCACTTGAGTTAATCTTAAAAAGACAAAGAGTAATTAAGTGTGTCTGTGCGCGCTGAAACGACAACGTATTAATGCAATTACTGATTCATAGTCCAAAAAATAATTAAACCGTTCCAATCCGGTTAGGTCCGGTCCGGTTGAGTTTCAATCAGATACAAAATTCAAACACATAAACCAATATATAGTTTTGTTCCATCTTACAAGTTACAAGAAAGAAAACTAGCCTTATGAAGGAGTCATCAAGCTGTTCTCCACTAGTATAATTCGCACTAAACCGGCATCGGTTAATTCTATTTTGTGTTTTTTGGCTACATAATTCGAACCGGGATGTTTGTGAATGTAATCAATATAGCGATTAATTCATTAAACAACACGTTAGTTAATTGTCTGACATGTCATATGGGATAAGTAATAATCATTGACATGCAGCCTTTAGTGTCAACTCAATCTTCTTGTAAAGCTACTTACATCATATAGGGAAATATACATTGATTAAACTATGTACAAATTTATTTAAATTATGTATAAATTAATAATCAACACATTGATTTAAATAATCAACACATTGACATGTAATATGAGATAAGTAACAAAAACAAAAATAAATAAGAGAAGCCAATGATTTACCAAAAAGAAAAAAAAAACAAGAAGAGCTAAATAAGGGTCGACGATAGCAGCAAAGAGAATGTTCGGCCGAATAATACAAAGCACATTGTTGAAGTGGACATATATCAATGTCGCATACTATGTCTATTTTCTCCCACATAATTGTGTAAAAATGAGTTTTTTTGTACGTGTATGAATGAATTTAGCTTTTCTCACGTTTTGACATTTATGTCTTACTTAAAAGCATATGGTTCCAAACTTCGAATGTGTTCACATGTCTAAGCAACATTATAAGTAGGCAAAGATCAAAACAGGCTCAAGTTTAGTTAAGAGAGACCATGTAGCTACTAAAACAACACCTTTAAAACCTATCAAGACCAGATGATAAAAGCTGTTTCACCTCTACTACTTAGCTTTACAGCCTTATTCTTGAGACACAGCACTAGAATTTGTCTTAGCCTGATGGTGGACCGAAGCGAGGTCTGATCACCGGTCTAGGACCCTCAGTATCCACCACCCTTGAACGTTTAGAACCAGCGTGGTCTGAAGATTGACCTTGCAACAACGCAGTTGAACCATTGTCAATAACCGGTTGATTTGGTGCCGCACCAAAGCTTGTTGGAAGGTTCGGGTCTGAGCTTTGAAAGACTGTGTCTGAAACCTGCATAGGGGTTGATTGAAGTGGAACAGGTGATGAGACAACACACTGGCTCTGGTTTTGAATTTCTCTAGGAACCATGAACTTGAGGATAAGAGCCACAGGGATATCAATCTCCATCTGGAAGTCTTCAATGAGTTCCATCATCTCCCTCAGTGTAGCAGCATCTCTGTTAGCTTCAGCCTATAAGCCAACATAAAATTACAAAGTTAACCATCAATGACAATATACAGCTTGACAAATAAAGAGATGGATTGAAACTAGCTTTATTAACCTGTCTCTTTTCCTTGACTGAGTGTCTCAGAGAGATGATCTCTTCCTTCAAGAGATCCTGTGGAGAAATGTTATTCTCCACGTTGAAGTAAAACATAAACCGAATTGCAGGAATAAACATGGCTTTGTGCATGAGCTCTGTGACAAAATCTGTTGACATAAGCGTTGTTAGTGTTTAACACACACATAAATGCACATATGTATTGTATCAGTAAAACTTACTTGGGATGGCATCAGTGAGACCAAGAGACTGAAAGAGTTTTGGAGCCTGTCTGAAGTGAGCAACACAGTAGGCAAGTTGTAAAGTCTGATCTTGTTTAGTTAGTTTCCCCACCAATCCAAACGCCACGATGAACTGCAGAAAAGCCCAAACCTCGAGCTGTGACCTTTCAACACTAGCTTCCATCATCCTAACCCATCGCTGTGCTACTCTTGTTGCATCATACTGTAGACCAGGATCAGTAGCGCATACAACACGTGCCAGCTCCTCCAAAAGGGGAATCAAATTCACAAGTATAGGCTCTCCTAAACTCGACTCCCCTCTCAGACGAGCATTCGTGAGTGCATCCTCCACAGCACTTAGAACAATCCTGCCTGGTTTTTTAAACATTGGAAGTTTAGTAGAGACTTCATTCGGAGAAAAGTAAGTTGAATCCTCAACGTCTCGAAGAGCATCTTCATCAGGCAAATGAGATGAATCCATGTTTTCTTGGACATCCGGGGAGCGAGAATCCACACTATTGCTGATTGGTGCTTCATGGGGATGCTCTTCAGGCTTATCTTCCAGTAACAGCACATTGTTGACTGCAAAAAATAAACTTCAATAAGCATCACAAGACTAAAATAGAATCCAACTGTTATTTTTTAAAGGTCTGAAGTTTGGTTATTGTTTTGCTTGTAGTAGAATCAGATATCTAAGATTATATGGGATCAAGTTTAAATATAACTTCACAACAACTCACAGAAAATCGAGAAAGTATCTTTATGTTACTACTAGAGAAAACTGATTTTCAGATAGGTTACTTGAAAAGAGAGACAACCTAGAAAAAGTGACACTTCACAGAGAAAACATACCAGGTGATAGAGCTGATACTCCAAGAGCTTTGCCTAGACTTGGACCATATTTGCTAAGAAAGTCCACATCAAAAAGACTTTGGACGTTCTCAGCATCAAAAGTGTATGCCAAACTGAATGCAGCAAGAAAGTTTAGAAACTCCAACACCTCTATTGGATCCTCTGCGTTAACCAGAGTTATGTTTTTCCATTCAGTAGCAAACTTGATAGCTTCTCCATATACTTCAGTTGTGGGTTTTGTTGACAGATCCATCAAGCATTCTAGCAAGCAGATGCTACTCCTTTGAACACTCTTTGAATCAAGATCTTTAGCTGACGTTCTTTGATGAGCAGCGTAGAGCCCATTTATTGTGTCTAACACAAGCTTTGCTGGGTCAGACGATCCTTTAACAGACGACAGGACATCGAGGTCAAGCTGATTACGTTTCTTCAGATGCCCACGTATGAGTAACTGCAAAGTTTTCTCGTCGGATATATTAGCATCTCGTACCAAGTCAACTTGTTGAGCCGTGCTGCCTTGTTTCTTTGCTTTCAGCTCAGATTTCTTTGAAGATTTTGCCAACTTCTGTTCTGTGGATTTCAGTAGCTGAGCCTTCTTGTTAATCTTTTCCTCCCTAACACCAAGCTCTTTCTCTTTCAGTTCAAGCCCCTGCTCACGTTCCATCAATGATGCTTTCAACATTGCTTCAGTTTTCTTAGAGGATTTTGCCAGCTTCTGTTCTGATGCTTTCACTGGGAAGTCAGTTGTCACGTTTGGTGCGTTCTCTCGACCATCAGTTGTGTCGGTTGGTGTTGTTTCTGGAACGCCAGTTCTGACAGGTTGTGCCATGTCGGGAGCGTGAGATTGATTGACCGTGATATCACCGGACGAAATTGTCTACAATGGTTACAAATTAACATCGTATAGCAAATGAATACAAGGAAAAAAAGCACATGTATACCTCGCCAACATGCACCTTCTCCGGAATATTAGACAATATAGCAAGTTTGGATGGAGGTGCCTGTCAAAAAAGTTTTTAGTTGACAGATGACAAAATCATTTCACACATAACATCTCTGTTGCAGGAAGATCACCTGCTGAAGACCAGATGCCACAATATTTGGTTGGATAGTGCTACTTCCGAGATTTGCGACAGGGGGGGCTTCCCTTTGTATGTCTGATACTTCTGAGGTAACCGTTGTGGATTCCTGGTGTAGAGACAGTAGGACCTGCACACAAGTGGAAACCAATGGTAAAGATTTATTACTAAAAAGATATGTATATTTGACGAAGTAAACGGAATAGAACAAATAATGTATGGAATAGAACGGATACAGTATGGAATGTATCAAAATAAAGGAATGGCATAACTGGAGAACGGAATAGTATGAACTACCACTTGTACTATTGAAGATGAAAAGCGACTAATAACCATGTACTTCTAACAGAAACTCTCTGTAAATGGAAACAAAGGTAGGACTTATAATTGAAATGGCATACTCTTACATTAGCAACTACATCTCCAGTGTCAAAAGGGGGGGCTGTCGGATAGACTGAAAGTCCGCTGGAGACGTCATTTCCCTTTCCATGATGTTCCTGTGAGTGGGTAAGATCCAGTTCGACTCAATATGGTAAGGCTATAATTAAAGAAAATATAACAATCATAAATGGACTGCACCTCCATTAAATCACCACGAGGGAATGCATTGTCTCCCCCAATGCCTGGAATCGAGGAAGATACCTGTAGAATGAACAAAATATAGTGGTTACATTTATGGAAACGAAGAAACTGAAAAGAGGAATTGTAAGTTCTATTTCCTGTATAGTTACCTCACCAACGGCTACAGAGAGAGAGACTGCGGCAGAAAGTTGGGCCCTATCACGGGTGCACATTAACTACAATAGCCAGAAAGCGTTACATTATAGACATAAGAAGAAAGTAGTAACAAAAGACGTTGGAAATTTCGTAGATTGTGTAAATCGCACATTCGATTATGTAAATTTACCTCCGACATATCTT